GCTGTGCAGGACCCCACCACGCTGTCCTGCTTTAGTGAAGTGGGGCAGGAGCTCAGGTTGGCCCTAGCCCCCAGTGGGATGTGCTCTGTGGGGACTCCCAGCCCCATTCCTAGGCAGGGCTGACCAGGCCAGTTCTGCCTGCTCTGCTGGGCTCCAGGAAGCAGGGCTTGAAGCTCAGCCAGCTCTTTCCTGCAAGTAGCTTAGCGTGACATTGCAGGTGACATGCCCCTGTTCCCGGCACCCCTCTTCTGCATCTGTCCCACAGCCCGGCAGCCAGGGGGTTAATCAGCCATTGTGTGCCCGGGTTCAGTGCCGGTCACTCCGGTGCTGGCAGGAGCTGCCAGCACCCACCCGCTGGGCTCCGTTCCCGCTCGCAGCCCGCGCCATGCAGTCCTGTGCACTCGTGCATGACATTCACAGCTACCGCCTGCGTGCAAACATGCCACCCACATTCCACCTGCCAGCCCCACGCAGCGAGCCCAGACCAAGAGCCAGCCCGCACCGAGGGCAGGGGAAAGGGCCCTGTAGAGAGCCTGGGGGCAGTGGGGAGGCCCTAGGGGTCTGGCTGGGTTAGCGCTTCCAGCACAGGCCTGTTATGAGAACCCCATCCCTTAGCAGAAGGGGGACCAGGAACCCCCCCCACACACACACTACTGGGTCCCCACTGCCCGTCTGCCACAGGGGGAACTGAGTAAGGGCTGCACAGAGAGCGTGTGAAGGAAATGCGGGGCCTAGCCTGGCCAATCACAGGGCCTCCGTCTCACCGTTTCTGGCAGGTTGTGAACAGCCCTGGGGAATTGCCCCCATGTAGGTTTGTGTGCCCCCTGTCCTGCAGGGATGTGTGGGAAAGGCCCAGCCGGGTGGGGTGGTTTGAGTCACTGGGTGTGGGGAGCTCAGAGGGCCCCACAAGGCAGCAGGTTGGGGCTTCCCAGGCCCCACAGGGGCACTCGCTGCAGTACATAGGTTCTTGTGCCTGGAGCTCTGGGTGCTCTGGGTGGGTCTGTGCCCAGGATTAGGTGCTGAGATTTCAGCAGGGCTTGTAACCCCTTAGCCTCCCCATGCCCAGCCCTGGCTCTCCAAGTGCCTAGGGACTCAATGCAACGGATTATAAAATGGCACTGAAAGCAGAGATGCCCTAGCACGAGCCCCCTGCCAATGGGAGGGGCGGGGTGGGAGGGCTGGCCCTGAGCCTCGTGGTGGGAGTTTGCTGGGCTCCAATACCCGCAGGATGGGCAGGGCATCAGGCACATGCTGGGTGAGGCCTAGAGATGGGGGCAGTGGGGAGCCTGGGAGGCAGATGGAGCCAGCCACAACATCATGTGCCCAGCTGCAGGGTTCCCCCCCACCCCCCACAGGCCGTGGGCACAGTTGTTGCCAGAGAAGAGGCAGAAGCAAAGAGGGGGAGAATGGGCCAGGGGTCAGAGTATGATGGGGGGCAGTCATCCTAAACCCCAATCCCTCAGTGACCCCTCAGGCTCCCACTGCTCCCAGAATTCCCAGATCAGGCTGCGCCAGGCTGGCAGGGTGGGGGCAGGGTAGCTTGCCCCGATGCCCTGCAGGAACTCAGAGGGCCGTGTCCACCAGGGCGGTCACCCATGCCCTCACCAACTGCAGCAGCAGATATGGGTATGTGTCCGTTCATTTCAAATATGCCAATCAGCTCATTAAATGATTTACCTAAAATATCACCCATGGTACTGCCCAAAATGTGACAGCACGGGGCACCTGCCTAAGCCAGCCCGCAGCCGGAGAGGGGACAGTGGTTCGAGCGGGCAATGCAAATAGCCTAGGCCAGTGTGCTAAACCTCAGTGGTTCAGGAGACAAATTAGCGCTCACCATTCCCCAAAGAGCTGCGGTCGTGTGCATTCATTGTTTCTGGCACCGGAGCGCAAATCCTATTTAAACAGCATGGCAGGGGAAATACTGAGGTTCTCTACATATATCTGTGTGTGTCTCTCGCTATTATTCTCACAGCAAAATCACTGACAAGGTTTATTATTTTATCAACTGCAATTGGTTAATTACACAGTAAAAGCCTCCTGATTGGTTAATAACTCTGATCAGTTAACAATGAAATCACACATGGGCTGCACAGGGCAGCAGGAGGCACATTAAAGAGCCACTTGAGGCTCGCGCGCCGCAGTCTGGGGCTCACTGGCCCAGGCCATAGGTCTTGCGAAGCAAGCTCAGCATTCCCAGCAACCTGAACCCAGCCAGCGCCCGCCCCCCAGTCTCTGTTCCTAGCCTGGCTCTGCGGACCCCGGACGGCAGCCAGCCCAAGTGCTGAGCCTCCGGGCTCAGCCCACTTCACATTGTGCTGAGTATTTGCTGACCAGCCCCAGGGATGGGGTGGGGGGGAGAGCAGTGAGGGGGATTTGGGGCAGTGCTGCCCACTGGTGAGAGGCAGCCATTGGTCCTAGCTCCAGCCAGCTGAGCCAGCCCCACTGCTTGGGGATCCCGCTAGCTGCCCTGGGAGGGACTCGGAGCCAGTTCCAGCTCATGCCATTCATCCTCCTGCGTCAATTTACAGCTCCTGGCTTCAAAAGGCCGTGCCCACTGGGGCTATGCGGGGTCAAGGGGCCTGGGCTGCAAGGCACTTTGGCTTTGGTTTGTGGGGTCAGTGAGCTGTTGGCTAAACTGGTTAGGCTGAACAGTACCATAGGGAGTGGGGAGGGGTGGGGACAAAATGGGGTTTTGCTTCTGTCCTGATTCCCTTGGCATTGCTGCCAGGCTGGGGGAGACTGGCAGAGCGCGCAGCGGGCACGGGTGCGACTGCAGCTCCAAGGGCAGTGCCCTCTGGGCAGAGGTCAGCCCCAGCCAAATTTCAGTGCGACACCCAGAGCAATGGCGCCATCTCCCGCAGCCCAGGGGCAGTCTCTCTGCGTGGTGTCCCTCAGCCTGCGGGGTGAGCTGAGATGGATAAAAGGGCCAGACCCCAAGGAGGCACCTGCCTTTCCATGCCACTGCGTGGGAGGCAGCCGTTCAGCTCCGCTTAAAGAGTCCAGCCCAGTGCTCAGCACACAGAATAGGGTGGGAGTGGAGGATCATGGGGGTCAGCAGCCACCTGGCGAAGCCTGCCTTGGGCAAGGTGAGCCGGTGCCAGGGCTCTGGCTGGTGGGTGGGGGCGGGGGGTGAGGCTCAGAGAGGGAGGTGGGGCTGGGGAGCAGTGAAGGGGGAATGACCTGAGGCTCTCCATGAGGTGGGAGGGGCAGAGGGGCTGGACTCCACCTGGCTGGAGGTGCTGAGCACCAGATTGCTGCCCAGATGGTTCAAGCAGGGTGAGGCCTGGCAGCCTTGGGACACAGAGGCCCCTGGCGCGTTCACATCTGGACCAGGGAACCCTGCGCTGGAGGTTTGCACCCCTGGATGCAGCAATGCCCATATGAGCTGGCCCAGCTGGCGTCAGCCCTGCTCGCCACACGGGGCTCGCTCACCTCGGCTGCCCTGCCACCCGCCCCGCTCCTCCGTCAGGGGTGAGAACTGCCTGGCACACCGATGGGCTGGTGTGTTCTCAGCCTGGCATTAGGAGCCGTGCCACTGTGTGCTGGGGGGCAGCTGGGCACGATCCCAGCCCATGCAATGGGCCGTGAACGCTGGAACTGAACGCTACGCTGTAGGAGGGGTCCATTTTTATTCCTTTTGTCTTTTACAATAAACAAACAAAAACCCAAGGGAATTAAACACAAAAAGCTGCACAAGTCAGAGACTTCAGCATGTGGCTTCTCCCAGGAGCCTCAGTGCCGTGCCAGGTCGGCAGGCTCGTTCGCTGCACGCTCAGACGCCGGCAGGGAAAGAACCCATTGTCAGCAGCGCATCATCCAGGGAACAGGGGCTGCCCGGTCAATGATGCTTCGGCACAGGTGCACTGAGCACTGGTGTAGGGTGAGTCATCACTGTGACCGTAGCGACACGCATGGAGCGTTTGCATGACGCTGCGTGTCCACGGCCCAGGCAGGGTGGGGGATGGGAGGATGTGGGTGGAAGTGGGAAACGTTCAGTCGGACTCTCCTGACACGCATGAATGTGCATGGGCGTGTTTACAAATTCAGCCACGTTGCAGGGCCATGGCAGGCCCAGGGATTTCAGGCCAAAGGCTACAAGGATGTGCTTCAGCCTGGCTCCTTTGCCGTCTGGGTGCCCGGGCACGGCTCCGACGGGCACGGTTTGAGAAGCGTCCATAGATCCATTGAGATTTTGTGCTTTGTTTTCTGTGAAATCTCCAAGAACACCTGCGGCCTGGCCTGGCAAAGCTGGGCTGCCCGTTGAATGGCTGTAGGGGACTCACAGCCACACACACACTTTCTCACTCTCACACCCTGCCTCTGTTCCCTCTTAATTAGGGATGTAAAATATCCATTTTAAAAGTTAACCATTAAAACTATTACAATTAGGTCATTTAAACAGTTAACCAATAAAGGGGAGAGGGGCTGGGCCCTCTGCGGCTGGGGCTGCTCTGGCTGACTGGCCCACGGGGCTGGGGGCTAAAGGTTAGGGTCGGTTAACCCAGGGGTGGCCAACCTGTGGCTCCAGAGCCATGTGCGGCTCTTCAGAAGTTAATATGCAGCTCCTTGTATAGGACTGCGGGGCTGGAGCTACAGGCATAAACTTTCCAGCGTGCTGGGGGGTGCTCATTGCTCAACCCCCGGCTCATCATTTTCCTCATTTCACAGGTGGGGAAACTGAGGCACCAAGCTGCACTTGCCCAAGCTCACAGTGCAGGATAATGTCAGAGGCGGGAACAGGACCCAGCTGGCCCATTTGCCTCTGCCTCTCGCTGGCTCCCTGCTCCAAAGGGTAGCACTGCCCACTCCTGAGGCAGGGTGACCTCTGCCATCTTCACCCTGAGGGGGAGGGGAGGCTGCCATGCCTAGCCGCCAGCCCAGATGAGGCCTAGGAGCGGTGAAGCTGGCTAGGGCCCTGCTGCAGAGCCAGGTGCTTCCCTTAGGGGTGGAAAGTGGCCAGCACTGGCTTGGAGCCATGCAGCCAGGAGAGGCTCCTTTGGTTTGCCTGGTAGACCTGCAGCTCAAGGCTCAGCTACTGCAACGGGCGACTGCAGGAGGGAATTACACTGCCAGCTCACCCCCCTCCCTGGCTGGACATCAGCAGCTCCCAGCAGGAGGAGCGGCTGGGTCTCCAGGCCACTTGCCAAATACCCAAGTCCTGGCAGTGGGACTCACGCCATGGCACAGCTGCTCCCTCCTCCCTCCCAGGCTGGGGCGATCCCAGCAGAGGCCCCTCCCAGCCCAAGAAGCGGGTCACCCACAGTGGTGTTCCTGGGGCAGGCTACACAACTCTGGTGCCAGCTCTTCCCCCCTGTCCTGGGCCATCCTGGTGTGTTTTGGGCACGATGCCATTCATGGCAGTTCCCTGCGAGCCTCCTGTCCACCCCTTCCCTTCCCCTACAGCTTCCTCAGGCGCCTCCCCTGTGGTCCTGCCCCACAGCTGCTGCCGCCTTGGCCCCCCTGCAACCTGGGGGCCACAATGGGGCACAGAGCCTCCTGTGGCTTAGGGCCAGGATCCGGCCTGCCCTGCAATGGTCACTGCACGGCCAAGTCGCCGCTCTGGGGCATTACAGCTTGCTGGGTTGGGAGTGGGGGGATGAGTCCCCATGCGACCCCTGCACGAGGGCTCAGGAAGCCACAGGTGCTGGCATTTGGGGACAGCAGAGAGACAGGGCCTTGTCCCTCCTGCTCTCCCAAGTGCTCTATGGGCTTGGCCTGCCTTCACGCCAGGGGGTAGGAGACAGGCAGGGGCCCAGCGCTCCCCGCAGGGGAATGGTTGCACCTCAGCAACCTGCCAGGGCCTGGATCCAGCTCAGCTGAGTGAGGGGCAGTCAGAGAAGAGCGATCAGTTGGGGGGCTGGGCGCTGCAGCCCACGGGCTCCTGGGGCCCTGCCCCAGAAGAGAGAGGGGGATCACATGAAGGCATCGACTTTGTCCCAGGGCTGCGTCTCGCTGAGGAAGCTGTCACAGAAGTTGAAACCCTGCTCAAAGCCCCAGGGGTTGCCGAGTGCCTCCCCCCTCGCCTCCTCCCAGGGGTGCTGGGGGGCGTCGGCAAAGGGGGTGAAATCTTCCCCGTGGGAAGCCCCTGGGCTCGGGTGATTGGTAGCCAGAGCGCCCCACTTGCCAGCAGGGGGTATGTAGCTGCCTTGCATGGCAAGGTCCACCTCTGTAGCCAGCGAGCTGAGCGCTGCGTTAATATCCAGGTCCTCAAAATTGCTGCCGTTTCCCTGGAAGACGTCGTCAAAGGCATCGGCCCAGTCGAAATCTCCCCGCAGGGCCTCTGCGTCTCCGCCACTAGAGGGCAGCAGAGGGGACGAGGCAGTTCTGGCTGCCAGGCAGGCGCGCTTCAGCAGGGGGCTGGGGGCATCCAGCAGGGGGCAGCATTGGCCATGCTGGTGCAGAGGGCCGTGGGCAGCCTGGTGAGGGGTGTGCCCTGGCTGCCTGTCCCCCAGGTGAGGCATGGGGGACAAGAGGCTGCACCCAGCCTCTGGGGCGGGCACGGCGGGGTGCTGCCGTGGCGGGCTGTAGGGCGCGGCCAGGGGCCGTCTCCGCTTGAACACACCGTTGACGAACATATCGGCATACTGCGGGTCGATCTCCCAGAAGCCCCCCTTGCCTGGCTCGTCCTTCTGCCGCGGCACCTTCCGGAAACATTTGTTCAAGGACAGGTTGTGCCGGATGGAGTTCTGCAGCCAAGAGAAGGAGGAACAGGCCCATGAAGGACACGGTGGCAAAGCAGGGCCAGCAGTACCTGGACGTGCTGAGTCCTCCCAGCACCTAGAGAGTGCATAGCACTCGCCCCATTGGACAGCTGGGGAAACCGAGGCAGTGGGCTTTAAGGACCATGGAGTTCGGCACCTAAAGATCTTTGAGGATCTGGGCCTAAGTGACTTACCTGGGAAGGAAACTGGATCAGAACCAGGCCTCCTGACTCCCAGTCCCAACCATTCGCACCTTTTACCCAATCTAGCCAGTCCCTTCACCTCTCCATGTTCCACTAATGTGTGTGGGGTGGCCCCATAGCCCTGCAGGATTGCCAGCTTTGCCCATTGCCAATATCCAAGCTCCATGGTACAGATGTATGTTCCTCTGCAGGCCCCATGTGTGACTCACCATGTGAGCGTTTGGGGTTGGGGGCCAGGAAATTCAGGCACTACAGGCCAAGAGAAGGCCTCAGTCACGTGCGGAGCAGAATCTCCACTTTCAGTCTTAACAATGTCCCTTTCTGGCCCTCCTGGCTGAGAAGAAACGTGACCGGAGGGCGACCAACGTGGGGCACCTGCCTGAGTCTGCCGAGAGCCTGACGCCGGTGCTCTCAGAGACAGGAAAATGCCCCATGCATCTCAATGGGTCCTTAACACCAAGCCCCTCTGCTCTGGGGGCAGCCCTGCAGAGGTTGTGCTGGAGCTCAAGCATCCTCCACCAGTCAGGGCTGTCTCTCAGCCTCCAGATACAGATCTAGGGCCCTTCCCTGCCCCCCGACAAGCAGCTCTGGACCAAGTGCAGAGAAGAGCCTGTCCACTTAAGGCTGCCCTTGCTCCCGATGCAGCAAACCACCCCCAACCCCCAGGGCTATGCAGCAGCCGTTATAAAAAGCACGGGCAGGTCCGAAACCAACCGCTCACGTCACACACAGCCTTGTCCAGCTGAATGGGCCACAGACGCTGGACCCCTCTCCCCTGCAGCTGGGCTCAGGAGCAAAGGGTGTATGGGCTGCGGCCAGGGAGATGCTCCTCCCCAGAGCTGCTCCTGGCACCTTTCTGAGCCTGAGGCTTATAAGAAGACCACGAGCAAGGTAAGGTGCGGCCTGTGGGGGCAGTGCTGGGCTGAACGTGCCATCTGGGCAGCAAGGGCTCTTTTGGACATGCTGGGCAGGTGTCACACCCCCCCATACACCCACCCCACCCAGCTCCTCTCCTGAGACACTCCCAGGCATCCCAGCAAGGCAGGGACCAGCAAAGAGCCCGTGTGGGCTTAGACACCATGGACTAGTCCTGTGTCTTTCGGAGGGTCTTTGCCCTGCCCCCAGAGAGCCGGCTGGGCAGAACAGCACCTGCTGCCCACAGCAGGAAGGCCCGAGGAAGGGGCCGCGTGGAGCCAGGACTGTTCAGGGAAGGCAGTGTGGCTGCATGGGCTGGGCTCCCCCTTGGAGCTGGGGATGGCTGGGCTGGAATTAAGCTGCAGCCACCAGGGGGTCTGGCAGCAGCCCCGCGGATTAGCCCTGCTTAGTTCAGCCTGCCCTGACGCTGCCCAGCAGGTGCACACGGCCTTGGTGTGTTGCTAATGGGGACCTCAGCTTGGTCTAAGAAGAATGCGTGTTGGGACCATGTTTTCCAGCTTCTCCCCGCCCCCCCAGCAGCTTCCACACCCCGATGAGAAAAAACACCCACTGTTGCCTGTGTTAGAATCACAGGCTTTTTCAGCCAGTCTCACGAGTCTTTGGGACCGGAGCGATGGTGTCAAAACACTTGGGGCGGGTAGCATGGTGAGCATGGGTGCAGGGCTGCCCGGAAGCATTACGCTGTCCATGTCCAGCTCCCAGGAGCAGGAACAACACGCCTGGGGTCAAATCTGCCTCTTGCTCACTTGTCAGCATGGTCAGAGACCTGCCAATGCCTCCTGGGACCCCCCTGGCCCAGAGCCCTCCCTGCCAGAGCTCAGATGGCCCCATTAGCAGCCCTGGGTCTAGACAAACAAGCCCGGTGTGTTCATCCCCCGCTCTTTATAGAGAGGGGCTTTTGATGAACCCAGAGACATTGGCTCTTGGAGGCCCACCTTCCCCCCGAGTCCTGTCACTTATCCCTCTGAAATCCCAGCAAGCTCCTCTCCGCACAGCGGAGGTGGGGAAGCGATTTGCATGGCCACCATGACGAGTGGGCAGAGCTGACCCACTGAGAAAGGAGACCGCTCGGTAGGTTTGCTGGGAGCTCTCCCACAGCCGTGACCCACCCCAGAGGTGGCTGCATTTCAGTCCCAAGCAGACACTCTCTCTACCACCTGTAGAGTGAAAGGCCACATGGAAATAAGGGTGGATAAGCCATCTTTCCAGTAATCCCCACTCCAGAAGACACCTGGTGAAGGAGCAGCCACACAGCTAAACACAGCGTTTGCTGGGGTCTTCCAAGAAGCAACAGAGAAAGAGAAACCGTGCCCTGCGCTCCCCACCCCCACCCCTCGGCACATGCAGCCTCAATGGGGGGTGACCGAGGCAGAAGGAATCAAATGCCGCAGCTCATTTATCCACCTGTGGAGCCCCGGTCCTCCTGGTGACAGACGGAGGCCTCCATTGTCCATTGCCTCAACAGGGCTGTTAATTATTCAAGCCACGGACTCACCTGCCAGCTGGGCTCAGCATGCCGGTAGTAGCAGAAGTTCTCCGTGATCCAGCTGTAGATGGCTGACAAGGTGACCTTGGCCTGCTTGCTGGCCCGCAGAGCCATGCAGATGAGGGTGGCGTAGGAGTAAGGGGGCTTCACCCCAGGGTTGCTCTTGTAATCAGTCACTGCCGCGCCGAGGCCGGGAAGGTAGCTGGTGCTAGGGGAGGTGGCTGTGGAGGTGGGTTTGCCGAGGCGCGGGGGCATCCCCTTGGCCGCAGTGTCTCCTGCTGGTGGGCTGGCCGGGGCCTCAGACCCTTGGAAGAGCTGCTGGGGAGGCTGGTGGAGAGGGTGGCTGGGGACAGGTGGTCTCTCCGGATCAGCAGTGACAATGGAAAAGTCTTGGAGCCACTGCAGGCTGGTGAGGCTGTCGTCCAAGGTCACAGCCCCACCCACATTGTCCCGGTCCTCAGGGTGCAGCAGCAGCCACTTCTCCTTGAACCGGGCAGCGATGTCAGGTGAGGCAAGGATGGGCATCCTCCGCGGATAGGCTCCCTCCACTCTCACTGCGGGGCAGAACAGAGGCACGTCAGCCATAGGCCAGCCCTCTCCCATGCCCTGCACAGCTCCTTGTGAGACACACCGCCGGGGAGGACATCTGTGGGTGGAGGGAGGAGAGACCCAGGCTGCAGGGAGTGGACAGCTAGGGCTGGGGTTTCAAGGAGCTGCTGGCCCCAGCACAGCCCTGAGGATGTGGATCTTTCCACCTGGCAGAAGGGCTACACTCCCAGGGAGTTGGCAGCAACCAGGGCCAGGTTTTCAACATCCAGGGGTCCCTCTTAACAATGCAACACAGAACTGGCTCAAGCCCCCACCCAGTAATCAGGGAAAACTAAACACTCCCCTCCCCTGGTGCCTCTAAGAGGCAACAGCACCCCACTCGCAAGTAGAGTCTGTGCGTATTGGAGAAAATGTAGTCAAAGGGGAAACCACCACAACCGTGATTCGAACATGTCTGCCCATGAGCAAAACTCTCGCCCCGGAGTACAGGCAGTCCCCTTGGCCTCCGCTTCTCAACTGGCGGTGTGCAAGTCCAACCAACAAATGCCCCTGTAACACACTACCCCCTCCACCACACCCCACTCACAGCTGCTGTCCTTGGTCAGCAGAGACCCAGCGTTCACAGAAAGAAACTTCAAGCAACGTCTTCCCTGCTGTTGTATTCATCTGCTGCCCCTGGCCTCTCCCCTGGTACTCAGTGATTTCAGCTCTCAGGGAGGGAACCTCACTGCTGCAGGCTGGACAGTCTCTTCTGCAGAAACCACCCGGTCAACACTAAGACCTGATTAGCAGGAAATTCAAGCTCCACTGGGAATCTTTCATTTTAAGTGAACAGCTAGAGCTGATCAGTTCTGTGTTTAAACAGTGGAGTGGGGCAGGTCAGATGTTGCCTGTAACCCTTAGGCAGAGTCAACACCTACAGGCACAAAATCCTCCCCACCTCTGCTGGCAGAGGGCATCCAAACCCCCTGCTTAGCGAGTTCAGTTCAGTTGAGGGTGAGCCCCACAATCAGGCCAGGCTATGCACAGTCCTGGTGCCCTTCACTGGTACAATAAAGGATAACATTTCATGAGCCCTGTATTCAGCATTAAAGTGATTTGTACTCCAGTGCCAGCCAGAACTGATAACTTGGGCAACATAGCTCTGTCTGCTCGCACCTAGAAGAGTGGCTGTGTTCATGTAAATACAGTCTGGCCCTGAACCCCCCACCCCCAGCTCATTATTAGGTCTCCAGGAAGACCTCAGTCAGACCTTGCTGGAGGAGGCTCCAGCATAATAGAACAGGCATATCTTTGACACCTTCCAGCAGGGACCTCAAAGCACCTTCCAACCCTGTGTTACCATCTGCATTTACACACAGGAAACTGAGGCAGCACAGGGACCTGCTCAGGGAGCGCCAAGGAGAAGGGCAAAGAATCAGCTGGTTCTGACCCTTGGAAAATGCACCCTCAAATGTACAGTCCCCTTTTGCACGGAGCGAGGGCAGTGCCCAGGTTTTGAATCCCCTGCTCCCCAGGCGAGGGACGGAGCTGTGCAGCCGGCAGGGAGACAAAGGCCGAGCAGTTGCCACCTGCGACGAGATGAGTTACACTGGCACCTGGCTCTGCCCTGCTCACCTGGGACGTGCAGTGTGGAAAACAAAAGTGCTGAGGCGGCCTCCAGGGAGGAGTTCTCCTGTTACCGCAGGTGGCCAGGTGCTGCCACTGAAGGGCTCATGATGACGCTCATTAAGGTCGTGCGCCGACAGACCGGGTGCGTTGCATAGCCGACAGGGAACACAATGCCACCGGGGAGGGCGGCTCAGGGTGGCCCCAGGCGCTAGCAGCTTGAGAATGGACCAGCAGCCACATGCGTGGCAGAGAGCCTGGAGAGCCAGACCCATCGCTAGCTGCCAGGAGGGCCCGAGCGGCAGCAGGATGGGGCAGCTCAGAAAGTCCCCTCTCACTCAGTGGCTCCTGGGCTCCTCAGTAAACCTCATGGCAGCCAGGCAGGGCCAACCTGGGGCATCTACAAGAGGGGTGTTCTACTCTATGCCAGACACAGCTGGACCCACAGCAGGCTTCCTGAGAGGCCGGTTACTGCCACCTGGGAGGCAGGGCAACGTCAAGCTTAGCCTGTTACAGACAGGGAAACCGAGGCACGGAGCTAGTGTCTCCAGGCCAGGCAGAGCTGGGACTGGAACACAGGAGATCCCGGCCAAGCCCCAGACCCTCTGCCGAAGGCAATCTTCCCGTTCCATCCCCCGGCAGGGGATGAAGGCCGTCACAGCCCCTAAGGTCTGAGAGGCCCCCTCTGCCCCCACCCACAAAATGAACACGACGCTGGTTATGCAACCAGGCTAGAGGCGCGGGTGCGTGCGGATCCGATCGGACCCACAGCTCCAGCGGCCTCCAGACAGAGCCAGCTTTGCGAGGCCAACCCCGCCCGGGACCTGCTCTCCCCACCCCGCTTTTCCTTTGGGGGCAGATCAGGAAAGGAGCCACGTTCCGACGAGATCCAGATCCAAACCCGATGCCCGCACGTCTGCCCGGACCCAGCGGATGCGCTCGTTGCGTGCCTCGCAGCCCGGGTGCTGGGAACAGCAGCCTCTTGGAGCAGCGCCCGAGCGGGGCGGGGGTATCAAAGGAGACGTCTCTTCCTCAAACTTGCCAAACCTCGTGTCGAGCTGCGGGGCTAAGCCTGGAACGGGGCGGGCGGGCGCGAAGCCAGAGCCGGGCGCTTGCCAGGGAGAGCGGAGCTCTTACCTTTGCAGAGAGGTGCGGGCTGGGGGCGGCGGCCCCAGGGGGCACCTGTCTGGACCGGTAGAGAGACACTCCGCGCCTCCTGCTACCGCCCCACCCGCCCGGCTGGCCTGGCAGGGAGATGCTGGGGGCGCCCGTATCGCCTTTTGTAGGGCGCGCGGGGGGGGGGGGGCTTTAAACCGATCCTGGGTGTCTCATTGGCTGATGGCGTGTGGAGTCCCTTGTGCCTTCTGGCCAATGAGGCCCGGAGGGAGGCTCCCAGCCCGCTCAGCAGTTAGGGAGCCTCTATAAATTCTCATTCTGGACAAAGAAAAGTGCCTTGAGTTGAGGGGCCAGGAGCAAGAGCACAAGGTGCGCCTCCAGACCATAAGATTGGCTTAAACCTCAGGAGATTTTCAGAAATCCTAAATCTGGCTTCTCCCCGTTGGTCTCCTGGTCTCTGAGCCTTTGGGGGGTCACGTTTTCCAGCTTTTCTCCGCAACCACCAGGGCTAGGAATGGATTTTAAAATGCAAGCTGAGTCTCACATCATCACCTAACTCCAGGAACCCAGACTTTAAGAAAAACACCAATTGTTGGGAGGCCCATGCTGAAATCTCCAGAGCTGGCTGCCTGTGAAACTAAGGAAGAGGGGAAAGCGTCTTCCACATAGGTCCTTGGCCAGTGGCAAGGATGTGTCCGGCTTGTGTGGGAGGGCGAAGAAGTAGTGTGAGAGCTGGGGGATAAGAGACATTCAACCACCTGCAGCTTCCAAAGCCTCAGGACCTCTGAAAATCAGCCCTTCAGAGGAGACCCAGAAAGGTCTATAGAGCAATGCCAGCTGCAATGCATATTGAAGCTCACAGAGCCTGCAAATCCCAGCATGCAGCATCCCATACTGGCCAGAGCAGGGGCCATGGAGACCACAGGCACAGCTCCAAGCATGGGGGATGACAGAGGGTGTATATCCTATCCCACATGTGTTGCATCAAAAGGTGAGCTGGCCGCTGGCAAAGGACAGTGTGACTGTATTTAAATGTGGCACCTTCACCATGTTCCATCCACAGACAAAGCCCATGCTTCGAAAGGGGGGAGTTATCTACACACCATAGATAGGGAAACTGAGGCATAGCCTCAGAGGGAAAGTTACTTGCCCAAGATCACACAGCAAGTTCAGGACAGAGCTGGAATGGAACCCAGGAGTCCTGGCTCCCAGTCCCCTGCTCTAACCTTCCATGAACAATGACAGACCCCAGACTTTTCTTAGCCCATTTTAAACACCAGCTACAGCATTTCCCTCCCTATCAGAGCACATGGTCCAGTTCTTGGATGCTACAGGTCCCAGCATGGTCTTCGGGGCTGCAAAGTTTGGACACCTTAGCCCCTGCTTCAGCACTTCCCCTCATCAGTCTGATAAATGAAACAGCCCCGGCCCTAGCTAGTCAGAGGCCAGAGAGCGGGGGAGCAGGGAAGGGCAGAGGGGGTCTCTTGGAAGGAAAGAAATCAAACTGCCTCAAGAGGCACTGGCAGGGACCTCAATGCACGAGCATACACGCACTGCTGGCTCCCCACAAGTCACACTGTGTTTGGAGTCTCCTATTTGCACCCACTCCCTGGTGAGCCTTGGCCCTGGGGCAGAGTAGGGCTAGACAGGAGTGTACCTCTGCCTGGCAGCAGGACTCTGCCTGAGCAGCTTTCATTTGACCCAAACTTATTGGAGCAGCTCCTGGGGCTGGTCCCAATGTCCGACACATTCACTCTCCCCTGGACTCTAGTCCTAGTCACTTCAACCTCAATATTCCCCTCTCTCCCTACCCCAAGGCCTCAAAGGGGAGGCCAGATGTTGAGCTTTGGCCACCAGAGCTGGACTCTGGGAGCCACCAACAGCCAGCAAGGGCTGGGGAGAGGGAGGCAGGAAGGGGGCCTGGGCTAGGGACCCATCGCCAGGTCGCCAGTTCTGACCTAGCCCAGGGAAGTTGTGACTAGATGTTGTTGGCTGTTCAGGATGTGAGGGGAGCTCATGGGATGGGAATCCACCTCATGCTCTGCAGCACTGGTACAGACATGGCCAGGTATGCTGAAGGGCTTGTGAGATGCAGGGACAGGGATCATGCTGGGCTGGAATATGCTGGTGATTGAAAGGTTTTGGGTGTTAGCTGGCAGCACCCCCCTGCCCCACCCTGTTTGACTCTTGGCCTGTGTAGACTGCCAAGGTTACCAGTAGCCACTGGACCTACAGGTGACCAACACTGGGGCCCCCCCAACCAAAGCTCTGCCAAAGCATCCTGGGGACCTTTCTGCAGCCACAAATTCATCCAATGCACATGGGCCTCCAGAGGGGTACATGACCCCTCACCCATGTGCCACCACACTGCTCTTATTGCTGTCACTCGTTAACGGACCACCCCCTCCCCCTGGCATACAGGTCAGTATACATCACTGAACGTCCTGGCTATGGGGGGCCAAGGTCAGATTACACTATGGGATTTTTGGGCTGAATAAGGTCAAGATCTGAGTGAGAGGCAAAGAGCCACGGCCCCAGAAAGATCCCGTCAGAATCTACTGCCTGCATCCAGGCAGGCTGAGTGTTAGATAACCAATTCCTTTCTGCAAGAAACAGGCTGTGGGGCCTAGCCCCGAAAAGAGCTTGTGAAAATAAAGGTGTTTCCAGTGTGTGATTTCAAACAGTGTTCAGAAATCCAGACACTCAGCGCACACCACAGGCTGTGCTGGTCTAGGGATACCTGCCGGACTGTGGTAGGAGAGGAGGGGTCAATTCCTGGTGAGTGTGTCGGCCCAACTCTGAAATACCTGTGGTGCATAGGTCACTCATTCCTCTCAGCACTCTGGGAAGCAGAGGGGTTGTTGATCCAAGGCTCTGACTCTGGGCATGAGAGCTGCTAGAAGAACCTGCACAGCAGTTGTGACAGTTGAAGTCTCAAGCAAGTTTTGCACTAAAGCTTCATGGCTCATTACCAAGGCCCTTCCCCCTCCAAGAGAAAAAGCTACAGTTAAGCACTTTAGTGCCCTCAGGCAAACATAGCACTGACTACCTGAAGGTCCTTGGTTCAGTCCTGACTTTGGCAGGCCCATCATCAAGTGCCTTTGCCAAAGGAGGCCCTTTCAATGATGACAGCTAAGTGCATTCCCCCCTTTGTGAGATAGGGAGGGTAAGGAAAGAGCTTCTGCCTCTACCTAGGGGTGGAAGGAAAGGAATCCTTATGGCCAACCAACCAGCTGCAGGAGTACTCTGGGTGCCTGGCTCTGTGCCTGCTGCCTGGGAGATGTGAACCCTTTATATTCCTGTGGTGGAACAGGACAGTTCTCACCCCTCAGGCAAGTAGAGGTTACAGAGCTCAGCTGAGCAAAGTCAGTCCCAACCTGGCACAGGTGGGGGGCCTGTCAACCTTGGAGAGGGGTGGCCCTTTAAAAGGGAGGATCCAAGCCATATGCAGGGTGGCACTCAGAGAGCAGAACTCCCTAGCCCAGGGGGCTGCTTACCAGGATGGCTGAAGAGCCTCTGCTGCCTGCACCCCTGAAGTAGAGGGACCATCTTTACTTTGTTTGGAACCCAGGGCTCTCAGCCTGGATCCTCTGGATAGGAGGGGTCAGGGAGCCAAGCTGTCTTTCCAGACACCCCTGCCCTCTTACCTTTCAGATAACTACTGGGGGAGCCTGGACTCTTTGTGGGCTCCAATGTTGTTTGGTTTGGCTTTGGACTGCTTTACACCTGGAAGGGGGGCTGCCACCTCCCTCAGACCTACAGCCGGAAAAGCACATTCCAAACTGGTTCTCCCGCAACATCTACAGCCAGACAGGGATGTCTGGGACAGGTCCACCTTCACCTCATGGGCCGCCCTCGAGGTACAACCTCCACATTTCTATTCAGAGAAGGCCCTTGGTGTCCTTGCTTCATCCCATCACTCCTTCACTCACAGATCTCCTTTACATCTCTGCTTCCAAAGGGAAGCCTAAGGCTTTGGCAGCAAATGCCAAGCAGCTGTTAACATGCTTTGTGCGAGCGGCTATGGGACAGCTGTTTTTCAGAAGGGACCATTCCTCCCAGCTGGACTCAAACCAGAGATCTAAGTGTAAGCAGTGTCAGGGTGAGCTCCACCCTGACATCTGGTGGTGAGGTGTGGCAAGTTGTGGAAAAGAACTTCAGGGGCCAATCTCATTTGCATAGGCACACCCACCCCGCCTAGAATGAGGCCATAGCTGCCCAAATGGTCACTTTGGCTGCTGTGGGATCCCCAGTGTCTCTGTTATTGGGGCAGGAAGAATAAATTATTATTACCCTGATTATGGGAACTGTGCTTGGAATTGTACTTGGCCTTTTGTTATGATGGAGGGACTCACCATCAACTAAGGAGCACTCGCTAGGCAAGGGTCATGGGTTCCAAAACTCTGTGAATTGAGAGAGGTTGGGGACAAGTATTAATACTTGGTGGCATGGGTCCCTTGGTGAGGTCCTTTCATGCTAATTGCACTTCCTCCTCTCTCCACTGTGGTATATTAGAGCTAATTTTGATTGCATTAGAAGTCTAGTTACATGCTGCTGAGCTCTCTTTGGGCTAATGGTGTACCAGCACTGAGGCTCCTCTACTACAAGCTGAATTCATCAAAGAGCTGAACTGACTCAGAGCTGAAATCACTGAGCATTGTGTTAAGTAGTGGGGGAGCCTGAAGATATATTGTGGAGAAGTTTGCAGGATGGTTGGAGTGCCTTGTGGACAGGCTGGTGGAGCAGTTCATGGGACAGTGGGAGCTGCTGGTGGGACGCGGAGCAGTTCGTAGGAGGGCAGGAGCTGCTTGTGGGCTGCAGAGCGGAGCAGTTTGTGGGGCGGCTGGTGGAGCGGAGCGGAGCAGAGTGGAGGCCTATGGAGCTGTGGGGCAGTAAGCTTCAGATCATGTAAGGTGCCTTTTATCCCCTGCCCCCATCTCCACCCAGGTTGGGAGGTAAAGCTCTGCAGATAAACTTTTGAACTCTGGGGCTGCCCTGACCAGGGACA